CAGGATCTCCTTTGGCATGCATTAAAATGATTGGGTGGGGTGGCAGGGAGGGTGGAGCAGGAGACCAAGGAGTGCTATACTTGGTGTTTCAGGCCTGCAAGAAGTGAGGAGAGATGAGGAGAATAAGCCATTCCAGGAGACACAAAGCCTGTCCATGTCCTTCTCTCTCTTCTCTAATGTATAAAACTCTTAGCTGCTAAAGGACTGGGAGCACACCCTATCACTCTCAGGGCACAGCTCAAAACCAATTCCAATTGAGGAATGAGATGAGAGAAAAAAAATTACCCCTGTGGGTGGGACAAGAAACAGTCCTGGGCTCAGACCATCAGAGATTCTCTATCAGCCAGGATGAGGCAGAATCACTGACGGGAAAGCCCCATGTCTGAGACTCTGGGACATACTACCTATCTAAGACTAAGGCTGAACCAGGACAACATAGAATGAACCCCCTGCCCCTTGCCTTTCCCAACTAAGCTAGCAAGCACACAGTCATCCCACATGTAGCTACCCATTGTCTCCAGTAAAAATCAGAAACATTGTAATAGAAACTACTTTAGTATTACTCCCCCCAGGAGAACCCTTGCTACTCATGGAAGCCAAGTATTCAATGACCCAGCAAGTAGTCCAGCATTTCCACCATACATATAGATAATGTATCCTTCCCCTCTCTATCATTTCTTCACATTCAGCCTATCCTCAACTCTTACCTCCAGGCCAATGGCCAGCAAGTCTTGATTACAACATGTTATAATTATTAATCACTCAGACACAACATCTCTCAGGAAATATGAGACAAAGTATGTACAGTCAGCTCCATTTGGGGGACTTTGTACTAATTTATCCTCCTAATCTTGGACCTTCTATTCACCTAATTATGTTGACCAATCCTTCCTATATATTCCAGGATCACTTATTTTACTTATAGTCCCCTTTAAGTACCTTACTTGCCCAGGTAAAGAGAATTTCATATCTTTACTTTGTAGCCAGTATATATATATATATATATATATATATATATATATATACTCACATATATATAATAGAAAAATAAAACATGTTTGTATGTTTGTATAAGCTAGAAAATAGCTCACAACAATGTGAAGGTAATTCAGCCCTCCAACTGTTAGTTGGAGCAGGAACAGTATGATCCTTTTGGAGCAACAAATATTTTTTTTATTGGTTGAGAAAACCGAATACCATAAATTTTAAGTCATTCCCCAAAGTATATTAATACAAGTACAATATTTACAACAGAAAAGGAGGTTTTGAAATACAAAATAGTAAATATACATACACACATACACACACACTAAATCAAGTTCCAAAGACAAAAAAAAAAATCTACAGCATAGATCTCAATGGAGTTGTGACTTACACTAGAAAGAAAAGTATATTAATGACCAGAAGCAAAGATGAGAACTAAATGTATATGACTTTTAGTAAAGATGTATTTATAATGAAGTTACCTGGGGATCTGATCTAAGATAGTTTTATTTAGCATTTGTATGCATTATTTGAAACAGGGAATGGAGAGAGGACACTTTACATTCGTGGAATACAGAATCTCTTCTAGATTATGAAATGTCAACGAAATGAGGAGAAAACGTAATATAATGTGATTTCACAAAACATTGTGAATAGAAAAAATTGTGGAGACTAAGCTACTTTAGTAAAAGATAGTTTATTTAAAAAACAATACTGGCCCAGCTGATGTGACTCAGTGGCTGAGCATCGGCTCATGCACTAAGAGGTCACTGGTTCAATTCCCGGTCAGAGCACATGCCCAGGTTGTGGGCCACATCTCCAATGCAGGGCATGCAGGAGGTGGCCAGTTAATGTTCTCTCTCATTGATGTTTCTATCTCTCACTCACTCTCTCTTTCTCTCTAAAATCAATAAAGAAAAAATTTTTTTTAAAAACAATACTGGTTTTAAAGGAAAATAATAATAGCTATCAAATAATAATCATAACTATTAATAGTTATCAAGAATAATATACATATCTCATTCAGTCCTTAACAATCCTTCACAATATGTATTCTTCCTATTTTACAGACAAGCTGAGGCTCAGAAAGTTTAAGCAGTTTGCCCAATGCTACAACAATAGTTGTTGAATACAGCCTGTAAAAAAACAAAACAAAACCTGACACAATTATTAAGCTGTGTTTCCTTGTCAACTTTAAATACCTAAGATATTTTGCCCAGCCAGTGTGGCTCAGTGGTTGAGCATCAACCCGTGCACCAAGAGATTCCCAGTCAGGACACATGCCCAGATTGTGGGTTGAATCCCCAGTGAGGGGCAGGCAGGAGGCGGTTGATCGATGTTCTCTCTCATCGATGTTTCTCTCGTTCTCTCCCTCTCCTTTCCTCTCTAAAATCAACAAAGGAAAAAATATTTAAAAAATAAATAAATAAATACCTAAGATATTTTTAGGGCAACTAATAGAAAACCAAATTTGATGATAAGAATTCCATTCCTGTACTTGGTACATTGACTTCCATGACTGTAAGGCCACATCTTTCATTAATAAATCAGCAGGAAGTTAGAGAATAGTATGTTTGAAGAAGGAATAGTAGTCTATACAAGAGACTGAAAGCTGGAGATGGAAAGTTGCTAAAAAAAAAAAAACCTCTTTAGAATTGTATGGAAGGATGCCAAACTAATGTTACTAGTAAATGTGAGTTGGTATTACAAGTTATTTGTAAGGGGAATGAATTCCTAAGAAATTTGTTCATTATAATGGATTTGTGAATAAAATCAACCAGCAGAAGGAGCTGCTGAAAGAACATACAGTAGAGGAAATTTAGCCCCTTACCTTACCCACAGGTTATATTACAAAAGTCTGTTTCTAAGTCAGTTATTTAGAATGCAGAATTCTTTCACCAAGGGAACAATGTTCCAAATCTGGGATCAGCACTATAGCCCTCAAGCCAAATCCAGCCCAACACCTGTTTTTGTATGGTCCACAAGCTAAGAATGGTTTCCACATTTTTAAAAGATTGAAAAAAAATTAAAAGTTGACTAATATTTCATGACACATGAAAATTACATGAGACTCAATTTTCAGTGTCCATAGATAAAGTTTTATTGGAATAAAGCCACACTCATTTGTTTATGTATTGCCTATAGCTGCTTTCACATGGAACAGCAGCATTGAGACAGAGACCATAGGACTCACAAAGCCTAAAACACATGTGCTCACACACTATGTGGCCCTCTACAGAAGTTTGTCAGTCTTCATTATAAATGATGATTACATTCCTGGACTGGCTGACAAAAAGTGGTATCATTTAAAATGTGGGTGTACTGTGGTGTTAACAGCATCCCCAAGTCTATGCCTGGAACTCTTTTGAGAACTCCGGTGGCATTCCAACTATGGAAGCAGTGAATATTAAAGCAAATATTTCAGTAATATTTTTTTAACCTTTGCTTATGCTGTCCAATCAATTTGGAATACCCTTCTCCCAACAACAAAAGTTTAAAATAGCTAACATTTATGAGTTAGCAAAATTGAGCATTTATAATGCTTTAAGTGTTTTATATGCATTGTTCTATTTAATTCTCACAACAACTAAGTGAAACAGTTACTATTTTTTTCACTGTGATTTATATTTACTTATGTACACTATTTTTACAAATCATCTGAGATGTCCAGGTTTGTAATTTGTCCAAACTGTTCTACATGTCAGTAGCAGCAAGTAAACTGCTCCTGCTCGATTACATTCTCTGCTCATGGAAATATACACCATGTTTCCTACAGCAAAGCAAAGTTTAAGAAGATTGTCTCCTTGCCACTCTGCTACCCCTTGCCTGTGATTATTACAGTTCACAATCCTTTTTAGCTGTACATAGTTTCTCCTATGTATAGGCGGTACACTCTAATGTGAGTTAAGAAAGGATTACTCCATTTGGTCAACAATTCACCTGGTACAATATCTACATTTTTGAGTGGTATAATTAAATTTTAAAAGAAAATACAATTTCCTTGAGTGATTTTACTTGGTCTAAACCTTTTCATTTAAAATTTATATTTTCTTACTTTGTAATTATAAAGAGAATATAAAATAATACTGAAATATTAACTTTAATGCTTAGAATTAAGAATATCTTTCATTCAAAAACTAATTCTTGGCCAGTTACATGGACAGTTAAACTTTCCTGCCACTACCTCCAAGCAGCTTTTACTTAAATAAATATGAAAAATTAGGTAAAAGCATTTCAATGTATAGTACACAATGGTACATAATATGGGAGTCTTCAGGGAGGCTTATTATGCTAAAAAAGCATTAAACATTGATAGTCATATGACCAAAAAGCAAATTGCTAACACCAATTATAAAGGTGCCCATTTATTTGGCAACATGGCCCCCGTATAGTCTAAAGAAGACTCTTGTGGTGGAAATGAAACTTTATGATTAAAGAAAAAAGCAAACAAACTCCTAGGAACACAATTAAGGGGTAAAATGAAGCTTCCATAATTAGCAGATGAGTATGCTTCATGATGTAGAAAAGACAGTCTACTAAGCAAGTTCTGAAGAAGCGAGAAGCTAATTCAATCAAAGAGTGGTAACAACAGCAATAAAAATACAAATAAGTCCATTATCCATATTACATTTATCACAGAATACAGTCTGAGAGGAAATTATGCCAATGACTGGATTTTCATTTTTTAATTTTTCAAAAGTGTTCAGCTGAAAGTGGCATAAGCTCCAGATTCTTGCTTCCAAAGATGGATTTTCATTCCTGACTGATTGTATCCTGAAGAAATCAAAGGCCTCTGATTATAGTCTATCTCCCTGTTTTCAGGCCTTTTGAGCAATTTATTTGCATAGCAAATGACTCAGATATACAATTTTAAAAAGCAAAACAAAACACACCAAAAATTAGGGAAATATCACAAGTAAAATGATTTTTTAAAGATGCTGTTCAAGATTCAGTAGAATCAAGAGCTTGCTACCATACTGTTTAACAATTACTTATGTTGCTCATTTTCTGAGATTTCATTCCAGTGAGAGTTGCACACTGTAAGCTTGGTTTTGTGGCTGTTGGTAGTCATACTTCCTTGAAATGGAATACATTTCCAGTTGTCTTAAATGAATTTTGCTTACTGTGGGCTCTGACAAAGTTTCTGCTGCAGGTGGCACACTGAATAGCCTCATAATTTTCCTTTTTTTCCTCTTGGCATACATGAAGAGACCAAAGCTAACAAAGATCACTACCAAGTAAACATTGGTGGTTTCATTCCAAGCCTCATGAACATGGTAATCAATAAAACCATCATCACCTATCACTTCGTAACCCCCAGGCATGCGGGCTGCTCACTCCAGAGGTGGAAGGCCACCAGGCTGCTTGGCTAGGGGCTCTTTCTCCCAAAATAGTTGCTATCAATATTCCAACTTACAAATGGGGAAACTGAGACCAAGATAAATTAAATAACTTGCTCCAAATAACACTTCTAGTAAGTGTTAGAGCCAGGATTAAACCCTGGCAATCTAGAACAATCTTGGATATTATACTATTATCCACTAACCACAAAGCTATTTCTTTTTTTTTCATCTTTTGAAAGTCCTTTTAACTTTTAAGACTTAATTCGAATGCCAGCATCTTCACAAAGCCTTGCTCCCAGATTCCCCATACCCACAAGTTCAAAATAATAACATTAATTACCTCATAAGTATTCTACATGTCTATAAAAGCGTTCAGGCCCTGGCTGATTTGGCTCAGCAGTTGGAGCGTCGGCCCAGGGACTGGAGAGTCCCGAGTTTGGTTCCCACTGGGGGTGCAGTTTGTCCCCAGCCCCCTACCCGTTGGGGTCGTGTGGGTGGTGACTACTTGATGTGTCTCTCTCACATCGATGTTTCTCTCTCTTCCTCCTCCTTCCCTCCCACTCTGTCTGAAGATACATGCGAAATGACCTCGGGTAAGGATAAAAAAAAAAGTATTCAGTTCATTTTACTCTGTATTCTAAATGATATACCCCCCTCCACCTCCATAGGCACATATGCAAACAAAATGTAAATGTTATACTCATTGAGGGCAGGGAACATGTAATTCACTATATCATACATAGCAGATGCTTCATAAATGCTTTTTGATTGAGCAGATGAATGCAAAAGCAGCTAGTTTCTGATATGAAACAAAACATTCTAATGAAGAAAATTCTTTAACTGGTAAAGATATTAAAACATTCTGATTATGAAAGGTTGGGAGCTTGATTTCATCTACTGTTTAAAGTGAGACATAATTAAGACCCACATAACCATCTGAAGCAAACCTTAAGTATAGCCAAATATGGACCTTAAAGAAACTCTTTTCTTTATATTCATCTCACTTTGGGATTAAGAAAGTGCTCTTCCAATCTTTTTTATTCACTGAATATTTTATTTAATGAAATCCTACACAGAAGTTCAAATTATAAAATTGATGAAGCTAAAATTCTTATGATTGAAGCAGTAGAGTGTGCAGAGTGGGAAAGGAGGAATCTAGAATCCTATTACCTCCAAGGGACCCCTGGAGCATTACCATAAAACATGTAGGACACAGAGCACAATTTGGTTTTGGAAACCATATTGAAATAAATGTTAATGCATTCATACATTTTCATCCATTATTATTTTATTACTTACTAGAGGATTAGTTATCCCTAGAACAAGACAGGGCCTTGTTCTAGCAATCATTCATACATTTTCATCCATTATTATTTTATTACTTACTAGAGGATTAGTTATCCCTAGAACAAGACAGGGCCTTGTTCTAGCAATCAGCATTTGATATCTGCCTGTTGACATAATGTGATAGATATGAGGTCAAGAAAGAATCTTGAGGCATCCAGGAAAGAAAAGACATAAGACAGCAGCCACATCAGAGGCTTGCTGGACAACCAAAAAATAATGACCCTGGGCACTACCAAAAGGGGGATTCAGAAAAAAAAGTACTCAGAGAGCCACATCTCAACATTGCAGCAGGCTGATCCTGATATCACTAGTGGTAAGGAATGTGGTATTGTTACTTATGACTCCAAGATATCTCATGATTTAAATATCACCAGAGGAGGGGTGAACTTTTGAAATATAGTTTTGACAGGAACAGTGAGTTGTCTACTATATTAAGGTAGAAATTCATGCTTAAACTAAAAAAAAAAAAAAATTCATTTTGAGCTCCTAATTAAATATTGGTTAACAGACATATCAAGAAATTGTTCAAGGAATTTTCAAGATGGCAGTGGAGTAGGTGGATCTTATATTCACCTCCCCTAGGACCAAACTTCAAATACAACTAAATTAAAGAACAATCACCCTGAATAACCAATTAAAGACTAGCTGAAGAGGAATCTTATAACCAATGATTTATAAAAGAAGCCACAGCGAGTTTGCATCTGCACAACAACTTACACGTTGTGGCTGGGGTCGAGCCTCACAGTCAGCCAGCATGAAGGTCAGTCCCATGCATGAAGGAGCCAATGGCAATCAAGGCTCACTTACAACAGGAGGGCCCATAAAACCCACACAGGAACATTCCTAGAGCACCCAGCTCAGGAGATCAAGGAGACTGTATCAATGGGTCCCACAGGATACCTACTACATAAGACCACCCCACAAAGACTGGGAGTCATAGTAAATCTATCTAATATATAGAAATGAACACAGAGACAGCCAAAATGGGGAGACAAAGAAACAGGCCCTAAATGAAAGGACAGAAGGAGTCTCCAGAAAATGAGCTAAGTGAAATGGAGGCAAACAAGTTGCCAGAGTTCAAAGTAATGGTTATAAGGATGCTCACGAAACTCAGTAAGAACTACAATGGCATGAAAAAGGACATAGAAACCAAGAAAAATAACCAGTTGGTGTAGAGATGGGGAGTTGGAGGATGGACTATTTGTAACCTGGTGATATGCATTCTCACAACCTGGCCAGCCTAGGATCAAAGTGTGTGTGTGGACAGACAGGTTTGACTGGAAGGCAGGAAAACCACCTCCATTGCACATGAATGCTTCATTTGCATGTGTATAAGATAAGGTTTGAATGTCAAAGGTTGGAACACCGCCTTGCATGGCTAATTAGTTGTAGGACTCAAGAGTGTCTGGGTTTGTTATTTTTTATCTTTGAAGTCTCTTTCTGCCATAAAAAGCAAGAGGCAAGGCTAGGCTGTATGGTTTGCAGAGACGCCATCTCAAGGAAATAATTTACATAAATCCATATGTAACTTAGGGAACCAATCTGCAAAAAAATTGGGCTGCATCCAGCGATCTGGAGCATTTGCTCCCTTGCTATGCTCCCCCTCACTCCTACCAGCATGTGCTTGTAGTTCATTGTGTTGCGCTGACGCTGGCTGGCCAAGAGTGATGGCAAGTTGGCAATTAAGAATACCATATCTGACATCAAGAATACAATGGAAGCAATAAACAGTAGGTTGGAGGAATCCAGGATCAAATCAGCTATTTGGAAGACAAGGTAGAAAGAAACACCCAATCAGAGCAGCAAAAAGAAATAATAAATAATTTTAGAAAATGAAGATAGTTTAAGAGAACTTTGGGGCAACATGACCAGTAGGGTTTATCCCAGAAATGCAAGGCTGGTTTAACATTTGAAAATCAATCAATAATGTATTATACTAATAAACTAAAAAAAGAAAAAAATTACCTCAATAGACATAGAAAAAGAATGCAACAAAATCCAATATATTTCAGATAAAAATTCTTAACAAACTAGGAATAGAGGGAACTTCCTCAACCTGATATAAACCTATGAAAAACCTAGTTAGCAATACAAATAATGATAAAGGAATGAATGCTTTCCTTTTAAGAACTGGAATAAAACTGAGATATCTGCTCTCATGACTTCTGTACTTCATTGTACTGGAGAATCTAGCCAGATGATTTAAGAAAGGAAAAAAAAATAAAAGAAACATCTAGACTGGAAATAGATAAGTAAAAATATCTTTATTTTCAGATAACATGGTTATTTATGTAAAAATTCAATGAAATCTATAAAAATATTGCTAGAACTAATAAGTCACTTTAGGAAATTTTCAGGATCAAGATCAATATAAAAAAATCTATTGTATTCTATACACACTGACAATGACCAACTGGAAATTGGAATTTTAGAAGTATTATACAAATAATATCAAAATATAAAATATTTAGGGATAATTAGTCTGTGTGAGCTGCCTTAACAGAATGCCACGAACTGGATAGCTTAAACAACAGACTGGAAGTCCAAGATCAAGGTTTGTTTTCTGATTAGGCCTCCCTTCCTGGCTTCAGACAGCTACCTTCTTGCTATGTCCTCACACGGCCTTTCCTCTATAAACATGCACTCCTGCTTTCTCTTCCTTTTCTTATAAGGATACTAGTTCCATTGGATTAGGGCTCCAGTCTTGTGGCCTAATTTAAACTTAATTACCACCTTAAATGCCCTGTCTTCAAATACAGTCACATTGTGGGTTAGGACTTCATCATATGAATTGGGGAAGGAGCACACAATTCTGTCTCTAACAGGATACATTTGACAAAAATCTACGAATGACCTGTGCACTGAAAACTACAATATATTGCTGAGAAAAATTAAGGAAGACCTAAATAATTGGAGAGGTATTTATTGTCAGAGACTCAATACTGTTAAACTATCAGTACTCCACAAAATAACCTATATACTAAACCCTATCCCAATCAAAATCCCAAACAACTTTTTGTAGAAATAGACAAGATGATTCTAAAATTCCTATGGAGCCTGGCTGGTGTGGCTCAGCAGTTGAGCTTCGACCCATGCACCAAGAGGTCACCAGTTCGATTCCTGGTCAGGGCACATGCCCAGGTTGTGGGCCCAATCCCCAGTGAGGAACATGCAGGAGGTGGCTAATGTTCTCTCTTATTAATGTTTCTATAAATTTTTTTTTTATCCTCACCCGAGGACATTTTTTTATTTTTTTGTTCAGATAGATTGGGAGGGAGAGAGAGGAACAGAGAGAGAGAGAGAGAGAAAAACATCGATGTGAAAGGGACACATCGAGTGGTTGCCACCCGCACGACCAACCAGGGCCGGGGACAAACTGCAACCGAAGTACGCGCCCTTAGCGGGAACCGAACCCGGGTCTCTCCGGACCGCAGGCCGATGCTCTAACTGCTGAGCCAAACCGGTCAGGGCCCTCTTATTAATGTTTCTATCTCTCTCTCCCTCTCCCTCTTCTCTCTCTAAAATCAATCAATAAAAAATAAATAAAATGCATATGGAAAGAAAAAGTACCTAAATTAGCTAAAACAATTCTGAAAATAAAGAACAAAGTTGGAGGGCTAATAACATCTGATTTC